GCTCAGGGCTCTCACACCTGGCACGAGCCACTGCTGGCACTGCCAGCTGCTCTGGCACTAACTGCACCTCTTAAACCAAGCTCAAAGTGGGCTTCTGTAAAATTAATTTGGGGGGGGTTGAAGATGTCAGGTCCCTCGGGAGCCATGGAGTCACTGTTCTACACCAAACTGGAAGTTATTTTTAGCTTTGTTAAACTGTTGCTTTTGGGTTAAAATTAGACAATCCCAGAATGGTTTGGGTTGGAAGGACCTTAAAGCTCATCCAGTCCCATGAGCAGGGACACCTTTCACTATCTCAGGTTGCTCCAAGTCCCGTCCAGCCTGGCCTGGGACATTTCCAGGGATGGGACATCCACAGCTTCTCTGGACAGCCTGTGCCAGGGCCTCACCACCCTCACAGCCAGGAATTTTTCCCTCACATCCCATCCAACCCTGCCCTCTGTCAGCATGAATCCATTCCCCTTGTCCTGTCATTCCATGCCCTTGTAAGAAGTCCTTCTTTTTACTTAGGCAGAATGACTCCGGAACTCAGAACTGGGTCTGAAGAAACTCCTAACAGTTGTTTATATTACCTATGTACTAAGTTCTCTGTTCTTGGGCATTTTATTGCCCTTCTCAGCCTTCCTAAGGCCATGAACTGAGTTCCATCAGAAGAATGGCATGAGCCATACTTAAGTCTGAAACGACAAGACTTTGCAAATAAAGTGCCAATTTGAGTAAAGTATTTGCATTCCAGTTTACATCCTTGTCAGTACATCAAGTGTGTGAAGAGTAATTTTGCTAATTAACACCAGTTAACACTGAGACAACACCAGAGCCATGCAGGTTATTGAGGTAACTGCAAAACGCATCCTTCACAGGCAGTTTATACCCTGGTGTCTCTCTACAAGCAATACTCAAATCTCCTTGGGAAAATGAACTCGGAAGAGGTGGATGCAATCTGGCAGGTGGTCATAGGAGCCAGAGTGGATGTGAGCAAACAAACCTCCCTCACCAGCTTCCTCTCCAACCCTGCTCTCCACAGCTCAGGAGAGCTCTCGGCTCTGTTGCAGCCTTGTTGATTTTCTCCTGCTCCTAGGTGACCACCAAGCAGCAGGAATACCTGAGGCTGGAATCCAGCTGGATGACGGCGCTGCGGCTGTCGGAGATGGCGGCAGAGGCCGCCTATCAGTCAGGTGAGCACAAGCAGCAGCACTGAGCCTCTGCCCCTTCTCCCTGTCTCAGCACAGTTCAGACACACGATGTGCATTCAGTTAACACCACAACTGACAGCTGGTACCTGGTTTTTGGAGGTGCTGAGCACATGCACTCTGGTTTTGGCTGCGAGTCTGTAGGTGGGTTCTGAGAACTAGTCTGGAAGCTTCACATGTGGTTTAGGTCAAGACCAACCATGGCCAAAAATATTTGAGTAAAGAGTTCAGTTATTTTTAAAAGCAAGGCTCAGACGCAGTCCTGGGAGCCACAGAACCAAGGCTGCCTGTGAGTCCAGTAGAGCTTTCCAGCTAGATTTAGTTACATTAAAAAAGGAAAAGATACTAATTTTGGTTTTTTCTCCCTGGAGAGATTTGAGAGCTCTGAGACTGAGTTATGGACTGGGTTGTGGTAAATGGGCAAAGTCACTGGAGTGGAGAAGGGAGGGAAAGCAGTGAACATACAGAGACACCCTAATTCTGTAAGTGCCTGGAAAAGACCCCAAAATCTGTGGGAGCATGGGAGGAGAGTGGTGGGAATTCAGCAGTGCCACAGGTATTCCCACTGCTAGAGGTGCCAGGATGGGACAAGTACTGAAAGGTTCTGGCACACAAGGACTGGGCTGGGCTTAGCTCTCAAACCCACTGGCACAAGGTGATCACTCCCATCCAACTCCAGCTGTGTCCCACTGGGATGGGAGAATTCAAGGGAGCAGTGACATCCAGCAGTGACAAAAGGCTTGAGGTAAATGAACAGTAAATGCATTGAGCATTAATACAACCCAGGAGCCATCACAACACTGCAAAGCAGATGATAATCCCATCCATTTCCTTAGCTGAAGGTTTACCCAGTGCTGCTCTAACCCAGTGTGTCAATCCTTCCCTGCAGGTGCAGACCAGGCCTCGGTGACAGCCCGCAGCCACATCCAGGTGATGAAGTCCCAGGTGCAGGAGGTGCGGCTGCTGTCCCAGAAAGCAGAGACCAAATTAGCTGAAGCTCAGACAGAGGAGCTCATAAAAGCCCAAGGAGAGGACTCCTCATTGCCACAGGGTGTTGTAGGAAATACAGATGATGACCCTTACCTTCGGGAGGACTGAACAGAACTGAACTCTCAGGCTCAATCACAAATTGAACAGTCCCAAGCTCTTAAGTGTGGGATAGTGTAAAACTGCTGAAATAAGCCTGTGATTCTATTTTTTTTTTCCAAAAAGGATTGCTTTACAAATCAAGTATTTGGAAGGCCTCGATTTTGTTTGTGACTTACCTTGTTTGTAATACTTTTGGATTCATTTATTTAAATGTTTATCTATGCAAATGTGAAGACTGTTATCAGGGATGGCCTGGTGGTAATTGTGTCTCTGCTTGGAGGGTCCTGCTGCTCCCTTGGTGTGTTTGTGGGAGCTCATTAGGGATCAGCCAGAGAAGTCTATTTAAAAATCCTTGGTTTTAACCTGTGAGGTAAATGATGTCTGTGAGGAGATGCCTTTATTAAACTGTGCAAAAGCAGCTCGTTGTGGGTGTGTCCATTTGGGGAAAAGATGAGGCCCTGCTTTCTACTTGAATTTAAAAGTTTTTAACCTCTGAATTGGCAGCTGCACCAAATTACACAGAGCTGCAGTCGGGGGAAATATTTGCAGCTGAGAACTTCCCATGGAGTCACCCAGGCTCTTGGTGCAGTTTTGTTTTGCACAGCAACTTGTTTCACCCAGAGTCATCTCTGGAGGAGGTTCCCCAGGAAGCAAAGGGGAGGTTTGATTTTCAAGATACTGTAAACGAAATCATTTTGGCAGCTATTGTGTACTGTTCTACAAAGCACTGAGCAAAAGAGAGTTTTACATAATTGAATGCTTCCAAGTGCAAGTTTCAAGAATTAGTCATGATTATTTCTTTTGCAAGCTTAATGTTTCACTGCAGGTTTCAAAACCACAGGTGTCTTTCACTGTGTTCATTTCCTAACTTGACAGCTGCTGTGAAATTTGCTTTGTAGAACAGCATCCATTAGAACTTTCTCACTGATGACTGGAAGCAGTTAATCCCCATCTGCCAGGTTGTGTAAGAAAACACACATTAATCAAAGGTTTTTCACCACAATTAGCATCTGATGCACTGCATCTGTGTCAAGGTTGCTGTTACTAAATTGAGTTGTGCCTGGCCAGGAATTTTCTTACCTGCAGCATAAACTGTGTCTTATTTTGGCTGCCTTTGCAACAAACAGAGTTTCAGGTGCATAGCACTGTTCATTTATAGATTAAGCAGTAAAAAGAAAATTAACAAACCATCTTTCCTTGCTCCTCACTGGGTGCTGCTGTTTCCAAGGAGGATGGCACAGTCTGGGAGCTGCCAGTGTCTGCTGTGCCAAACACAGCTCTGGGCTGCAGCATTAGGGAAAAAAACCTCTGTGATGAGAGGATTATTTGGGTGGTGGCACAGCCAAATGCATACTCAGATCAACCTCTAACCACAACTGCTCTCATTTGGTACCTCCTGCAGTTGAAGAACATCTGCCAAGCCCCTGACCCGAGTGCACAAACAAGTTGTGTACCTTTCAGGATGCCACAGTAACTACTCAGTTGTTTGCAGGGCACTGCCAGGAGTATGCAAAGCCAGCAAAGTCCCTCTTCCCCTTTGAGGGCCTGCTCCCAGCCCTGCTGTGACTCCACTTCTTGTTTCACAGCACGTCCTGCGCTGCCTGCCCGAGAGCTGCTCCCACACACATCCAGCCTGATGTGACTGGAACCAACCAGTCAGTCCAGCCACGAATGGCTCCACATCACCCCCAAAACAGGGCAGAAGGAAGTCCCTCACCTTTGTTAGAAAGTGAGAGCTGCCAGCTGGGCGTTACCCACACACTTAAGCCCACGACAGACGTGACATCACGCTCTGTGCTCCTGAGTTTGCATTGGGAATCATCGAGTGGATCACAGAAGTGCTGGCACAGCAGCTCACACGGCACCACGGTGCCTGCTCTGTCCACTCTCCTCTCCAGGACCAGCAGCAGTGCCCAGAGAATTGTGCCCAGAACCTGGGGTTTGCTGCTGACACTCAGCCTTGTTTACAAAGCCAGCACGCCTCAAACTACACACAGGCACTTTTTCAGCTGCAGTTAATGAAGCCTTGTTGGAGCTGCAGCCAGAAAACACAGTAACATCTTGCACAAGAACACCGTGAGGATGGACACAAACCAATTCTTTGAGACAAACCCCTACTCACACCTGGCACAGAAACAGGTCCTGTGAGATGGCACCTTCTGCCCCAAGAGCCTGGCTCAGCCCTGGAGCTCAGCCAGAGCTGCCCCAGGTGCTCCAGAGGGCCAAGGGAGCACATCCTACCTGCAGTCCCTCAACATCCCTCTGACAGCTCCCACCCCTCTGCTCTCAGGGTGTCCCTGTCCATGGGACAAGCAAGAACCTCCTGGCAGCACTTCCCGGGCATTTCTGAAAGCTCCAGCTCCCATCTCGTGGGGGATGAATGCTGAGCAGCTGGCACTAGAGACAGCAATTACAACAGCACAAAGGGCTCTGCTTTCTCTAATCACACACTTCCTCTTTACTCATTTGTTTTTTCCCCTAAGGCTTCCAGGCTGTTTCCTGATCATCCACAGCTCCTGCTCTAGCAGCAAGACACTGATAAGCTTCACAAAAGTACCACCAAAACTGAGTTCTATATTTGATCATTTCTCAAATTAGCAACTCCAGCACATTCAGATTAATCACTTTTGTGCCAATGCATCTTGTCCGGACAGGGCAGAGAAGAGCTCACAGAAAAGGAAGAGGCAAGTATCCATTTCCACTTAACATTATTCTCTTTAATGCAAATACCCAGCACCAGCTATCAGCCTTCCCTGGCTTTTAGGGCTCTTAGCTTTCAGGAGAGCTAAGAATATTCCCACGTAAATACTTTTCAAAACTATTTTATTTATACACAACATTACAACAACAAGAACGAACCAAACACCTCCCACATAACATGGGAAGCTACAGCCACTCTTCCTATCACTGTGATTATTCAAGACACATGGCTCCTCTCAAACCAGGTGAGAAAGTGTTTGTGCTAAAGTTTCCAGTGCATGTAAACCTGTCGTGAGTTTCTGTAAAAGCCAAAGGGCCGGAAGCAGAGCCCAGTCCCTCAGATCATCATCACTGCTGTGTTAAAGCCATATATTTTTGAAGCTTTTCCTTCCCCACTCCACTCCCTTTCTCCTGCTGACTGGTAGGAGCTGTGGGGTTGCTGCCCTGGGACAGCAGACCCAGCAGGATGTACTGGCCTTTCTTCCGTGCCTTCAAGTAAATTTCAAATGCTCTGTCACTCGTTACTCATCACTGGCTTCCTCATATGAGACTGACTGTGGCAGGCAGTCAGACACCAGTGCAGGTGGCATTTGTGACTTCCTTCCCCTGGCACAGTCCGGCTGGAGGGAGCAGAGTCCCCTGTGCTGTGTGTCAGGAAGCCACCAGCCACCCTGTGACAATTCAACTGCTTCAAGTGACTCCTGACAGAAAAAGACTCACTGCAAACCAAACTACAACAGCTCCAGTGCAGTCTGTTAGTAATGGACACGTTTCTACCACAACCTGATTTTTAGTTCAAGTACCCTGTCACCAGCCACACTCGCACTTGAGCTCATCAGTAGCTCCTTTTCCAGCCCCTGCTGTAGCTGTGTGTCACTGACACCGCACACCTAATGCTGTCATCCTTCACCAGCGTCCACATGATCCACATCTCCGTCGGGTTCAGTCTGTGCACAACCATCAGCTCTTTGTACAAGCACGGATCAAAAGGATTGAAAGGTCTCTGGATCCCAAAAGTCTTAAAGCCAGCGTGGTTCTTTGGGGTCAGTGACATCTTTGCCAGGCACATCCCCACAAACACATCATCTATGGGGAAGAGCTCCATGCCCTCTGCGGTGCTCTGGAGGCGGCGCACTGTCTCTCTGGACATCACATATCCCCCTCCTCCTGCATAGAGAGGATAGAAGGTGGCTCCATACATGGGCTCTGGAATAAAGTATTTGACCTTGGTGTTCCTGATGGGCCGGGCGTTGGCGATCACGTCCCCAACAAAGAGATCCTGTTCAGGGTCCAGCTCCCGGAGGAACTCAACGATGTTGTAAGTGTTGACAAACACATCATCATCGCCCTTCAGCACGAACCGGGCGTGCAGGCAATCCTCCGTGAACCAGCGCAGGAAATGCAGCTCCTTCAGGGTCAGGTTGAAGAAGTTGTCAACAAAATCCCACTGCAAGATGTCATCAAACTCCTGGCTCTCATAAGCCAGCAGCTGGTGCAGGGGCTGCAGCTGGATTTTGGCCTCGGAGCGCCCCAGGAGGAACACCAGCCTGATGTGCCTGCCCCCGATGGAAACCTCCTTGCCCCACGTGTTCCTGATGGCCACACGCCGGTCCACGTTGATGGGGGAAGACTTGATGGCCAGCAGGAGGAACATCTCCTTGCTACACCTGGAAGGCTTCAGCAGGACCGAGAAGTTCCTGCAGTGCTTGTAGGTTAAGAAGATGCGGTGAGGCTCGGGGAGGGAGAGAGAAGAATTGGCAAAGGTCAAGTTTGGCAAACACTTGCTGAGCTCAGCTCTGTCCAGAACACGAGGCTGCAGTCTGTCACCCACCACATCCACTTTCTGCTCTGCTGACGATGCTGCGAACTTCGCCTCCTTCTTCATGTAAAACACCCAGGCCAGCAGCGTGATGGAGAAGGTGTAAAGCGCGAGGTTTTTAATCCTGGGATACATGGCAGCATCCGGAGCAGGACCAGCCCCAGGCGGGCAGATGAAGACGAGCCGCTCCGTCCTACCTGACCTGGGACTGGGACGTGTCTCGGTGCTTCCCCCCGGTTCTCACCACGACCCGGTGCTGCCGGTCCAGAGCCCCCGGTCCCGCCGGGGCACGCACACCGGGCTGGAGCCGCCACTCCACGGTGACCTCGCACGGCAAAACCTCCGCCTTGCTCTGCGGAGGAGCCTCCTCCGCGATTCTCCGGGAGCTGCCGTTCCCTCCGCGCTCCCCCGGCAGCTGCCCCCGCCCCCGCCCCGCCCCGCAGCCCTGCCCACGGATGCGGGGGGCTGGCACCGGCACCGGGGCAGCGCGTCCCGGCACGGCACACCCATCCCACATAGCCACCCTCCACCCCCTGCCCGCTACAGCAGCGGCCACAGAGCGCCAGGAGCCCCGGGCATCTCTCCCAGCTCTGGCGGTTCAGCTAAAAATTCCACCTCTGTACCCCCTAAGTTTTCCCAGTTTTTCCCAGCTAGGAGCTGCACAGAAGTCAGGCAGGGGAAATGACATCAGGGAACAGCTGTAAATTCAAAGGCACAAAGAGAAGATGTAGCAGGAAAGGGGAAAGGTTTCAGAAAATATTTCTGTGATCTAATAATAATTTCGGATTCCCTACTGAGAAGAACAGGAACTCACAGCCATTCAAGCCTGACAGACCCCTGCAGCGGGAGCTCAGCACACATCCACAAAGGCAAGTCCAACATCTTAAATGAAAAAAAAAAACAAAAAAAAACAGAAGAAAAAGGTGATTTCTTTTGCTTCAGAGTTATTTCAAGTTCTTAAAGCCCAAGCAACATTTGCTCTTGATTTTGGTTGGGTGAATCATGAGCAGTGGGCACGGGTCATGCCATTCATTGAGCAGAAAACCCGGGGTCATTTAGAGGGGACACAAGAACTGTTTGTGCAGCGACCTCGGGCTGGAGAGGGGCAGGAGAAAGGCCAAGGGAGCTCCCTGGGGCCACCAGGGCCTGTGGGGAACAGAATGGACGCTTGGATGACCAGTGGAGGTGAGGAGTGGATCTGAGTTCATCTACAGGGAAATAAGGAGGGGATACTCTGGAGTGAAAAGCTGAGGTGATGAGTTCACCCACCTGGGCACAAGTTGTGTTTGCACAAAGTGGGAACAGAGGTGAAGGTCAATCCAAAGTCGATCCTGTTTGACCTCTGAATTCCAGGATAAGTTTTACAAGCTGCCAAATGAGGGAGTAAAAATACAGAAAATGAAACCGAGAGCATTAATGAGGTTCCTGGGAATCAATTACATTTTTGTCATAGAATTCTTAATGAGTTTTGAGCTTTTGATGACAACAATTCGGTTCTTGATTTGGATTAATCACTGTGTGGGATTTGGGGTTTATCTGGATTTTAAAGGCCTCATGGTGGCCCTGACACTGCCCAGGAGCTGTTAGGAAAAGCAGAATCAAAGATCCTGGTAGGCACAGGGTGGTTTTCCCTAGAGTGGATTGTGGAGGAATTGTTTGGGACTTGGATTGTCCCTCTGGGTGATGCCAGTTGCTGTGATTTGTGTAATTCCATACATTTGACTCCCAACACTTCCCAGCCCAGGGGCTTGAGCTGACAAGGCAGCACACAGATTGTTCTCTGTGCTGTGCCCAGATTTGGGGCTCGCTGTCAGCTTTGCTAGCTCCCATGAATTATCCCATAGCCCCGAATTCCCTGCTCAATTCCCACTGCCATAACCTCACAGTGCCTCATGGAGTGGGGATATTCCCATTACTCCCATGCAGAGCTGCCACTTGAATGCCAGCTGTGGCAGGAAGCAGCAGAGCTTCCAAGGAAGCCCCAGGAACGGGGACAGGTGTATATTCCAAAGAATTTGCTGTTTCAAACCCTCATCCCCCAGCCCCGCCGATGTCCCTGGGGGGCACTTGACAGAGTTACCTGGATTTCAGCTGATTTCACCCCCCCGAGCTCGGGCTCCAGGTGATATTTTCAAGCAGGAGAAGGCAGGGGCCGGAGGTGCTCCTGGCCTGTGCCGAGGCAGTCCCTGGGCCCATGAGAAAATATCTCTCTCTCCCTGCAGAATTTCGGTTCTTTCCAGAGCCTCAGCAGTGACTTATGCAAGTTCTTTTCCCTCAGGAAAGGGAAGGACATCCCTGCCTTCAGCGCATCTCCAGTGGGACCCACCTGCAAAAGCTTTCCATCCCTTCTGCACTTCCAGCTGGCTCCCTGAAAAACTCCCACCTTCATCCAAACAGAACTTCATCCCACCCAAACCTTTGATTTTAAGGCATCTCTGCGGGCTGTTGGTTGGGATTTAATGTCTGTGAGAGAAGAGTGCCTTGGCTTTAAGGCTGCTGCTGGATGATGGCCTTAGGCTGGAAGGGAAGGGATTCGGGGAGGCCGGGACATACCTGGCAGCTGCGTGGGAGCTCTGGGAGGTCGGAACCGGGAATTGCTGTTTGAGCTCCTCTGCAGGTGGCCCGTGCTGCCATCACCACGAAATGCCAGCTGTTCTTGGGGGGCTTTTGGGCTGTCAGTGGCCTCTGTCCGGGCTGAAGCATCTCTGGGTGCCTGTTCAGAGCAGCCCCTGGCCCAGGAGCTGCGGGCAGCCCTTGAGCCGTGTCCGTGCCCATCCCCGGGATGTGTGCTCGGCACAGGCGGGACACTGCAGGCACAGCCCCTCCCCTGCAGAGCCCAAGGACAAGAGGTGCTGGTTGCCTTTTGGGGGCTCCTGGCCTCCCCCTGCCCCACGTTCCCAGCCAGCTGAGACACACAGAAACACCAAGGAACGCTGCTGGCAGCGAGCGGGAGACACTGAGGCCTCTGTGCAGCTCTGGGCCACAAAAGCAGCCCCAGCTTCAGCAGCTGCCATCATTTTGGCCTGGCAATACTCACCTGCAGGAAATGTCCTATTTACCTGAGAGTCAGGTTTTAGGATCCCTCTCAACCCCAATATATCCTCAATATATCCTGTGATCTGGAAGTAAAGAGAAAAATTCTCAGCTGAATTTTTAAAAAAGAGGTTTTACCATTGCAGAGCTTTTTTTGAGTTGCAAAGCAGGGGCAGGGGGAGCATCTCACCCGCAGGTGTTGGAGAAGCAGCCTGAGTGGAACCGTGCCCCGCCCCGGCCGAGCGGCTCCTCCCGCCCGCGGTGCTCCAGCCCCGCTCGTTCCACAGGGAGAGGCGGGCGGGAGCCCCACGGGTGGGCGGGCACGGGGAACGGGGAGTCAGGAGCTGCTCTGCGCTGGAGTGTGCAAGGAGTGTGCAAGGAGTGTGCAAACGAGTGTGCAATGAGTGTGCAAATGAGTGTGAAACGAGTGTGCAACGAGTGTGCAAATGGGTGTGCAACGAGTGTGAAACGAGTGTGCAAATGGGTGTACAACGAGTGTGCATGAGTAATCGATCGACAGGCATTAGCAATCGATCGCCGAGCCAATCGACCGGCAGGCAGTAGCAATCGATCGCCGAGCCGATCGATCGACAGGCATTAGCAATCGATCGCCGATCTAATCGATTGGCAGGCATTAGCAATCGATCGCCGATCTAATCGATTGGCAGGCATTAGCAGTCGATCCCCGATCTAATCGATCGGCAGGCATTGGTAATCGATCGTCAGGCATTAACAATCGATCGCCGATCTGATCGATCGGCAGGCATTAGCAGTCGAT